ATATATATATATATAGATGTATATAGATGTATTTTTTTGCTTCGAAATTGTGACAGTCATTGTTATGATACTGAAAACCAAAGGGAAGCTCTCGAGTGCCTAATTGTAACTATTGCTTAGGTTACCTCGTCAGCAAATGAGCAGATGACTATAAAATACTAATAAAAGTGATTTTGTGTCTGCAGTTTTTTTATTGTGCGTGATTTTACTTAAGTTACATCAGTAGCGTGGCACTGGACCCTTCCAAATGGATAGAAGCATAAAGGTGGCACAGATGACTTTTAATATTACACATCTTTTTCTAAAACCCTATGCGGGCAGTATGTGGGACATTATTCATCCTTCCTTTTTCTTTTTTTAATATTCACAATGCTCTTATTTCTCGCAGCCCTGTTCTCAATTAAAGGAAGCGTAGGTACTTGCGATACCAGACACTGGAATGCATAGTTAGATATTTCCGAGGGCAAGTTGGGGAGGATTCCATCGATTAGCCAGGGTGAGACAAGACACTCATTGACAAACTCCTCCAAATTAAGGCCTCCGTCAACAGACAGTCCCATTTTCTTGGTCAAATACCGTAGCGTATCGCGACTCGGCTCCTCAGGATCGATTTCCGGAGCAGATGCCGCCACTTTGGTATTGAAAGATGATCTCAACGAGTGGGCAATTTCCGTTTTCGCTGTGATTAGCCCATCATCATTTTCATCCAGAACGTAAAAGCTCAGAACGGCGCGCTCCTCAATACTGCCTCGTAGAAGCACCGACATAAGACGAACAAAAGCGAGGGAATCGAAAGTACCCATTATTTTGGAATTCCCTCGACCCGTCAACTTCATTCCTGCTCGATAGAGGCCCTGTAGACTCGACATATTTGTAATATTAAGAGTAAGATAGAGGAAATTCATTAGTTCAGCTTGTTTCATCCCACGAACCTCGTAGTTGGTAAGTGTGTAGTACACGTTGAGTAGAGTGCTTACTTCATAACGGTCAAAATGGAGAGAGGGGTCTTTGATAGCCTTGTTAATGTCTTCCAGAACGGCTCGACGAACGCTGAAAAAGTGGTTGTGCCTACCATCCTCGCAACGAACACCTTTTAGGGCCTTTTCGATGAACGTTTTCGATGTGAGATCGTGTCGCACTTTAATCAAGTCGGGACTGCCTAAGTAGTGAGTTGAGGGAATAAGAAAGGTGCTCTTATTGCTCTTCGCTCTCAGACGCCAAAGCCGTGGGTCCATTCAGTCTGTTGTTGCTTTATTCGTCCGGCTCGTTTTCCAGTTAGGGAGTGGAAGGGGATGATGAACAAGTGATTGCCGACCTAATGACCTTGAAGTGCATATTGTTTGAAGATGGCGCATTTATTGATCCTTTGTAATTCCCGTCAAAATGGAAAGGTCTCACTGGTTAAGTTCCTGTTATTTCAACACCTCAAATGTTTGGAAATCAGGATTATTTGGAGCTTTCTGACTTACTCATTGAGCATTTTAGTGCTGGGATTTTGCGCTAATTTCAAAACTTCCTACACTTTTACTTTGAAGTTTTTCATATGAGACTGATATACTGTGAGTAAGTTCAGATCGTTTAGGCGTTACAAAAAGAGGGTACTACTCCGTATTCGTAGACCTCCTTTGGTTTGCAAATGTCCCAACAACCGGTTTAATCAGGTTGAAGTAAGCGGGCGAACGGCTGACCGACAGTTGTATGACCTTCCATAACGTAGGGTTCGGAAATATTTCTTCTGTAGCGCCTCAAGACTCCCCCGAAGACAAAAGAGGGCAGAATACTTTGGCAGAATATTTATTGCTGACGTAGGTAAGGTCTGGGGATGATTCAGTGATATGGCTCGGAGATTATGCAGCTCAGCGGAAGTTCAAAGGTGGGGTCTTAGCTGCTCGCGAAACCAGCACGAAGAGTTAAACAAACAACCGAGTATTACTTTGTATTAGGAAGTTTTTTTCAGTTCAAAGAAGGCAGATTGGGAATGAAAGAGATCTTTGGTTACACCTGTCAAATCCGGGGATCTATTTTGGCTTTTCCATAGATTACCGAGCAAGGTTATGACGACCTTGAGACACTCATGCCATTTTAAATCGGCGCATTTAACGAATCTTCATCTCTTGGATCCCCTCTATAGGCACGTTACCCTCATAAGATGTGGTGAATCAGCTTAAAGTTGAATTTTCCCCCAATATAATGAAGTAAAGTCGCCAGTGATGGTGAGTTTGATGTGCATTTAGGGATGCGAATTAAATAAAAAATGCATCCTAGATTTTCACCTTCTTTGAAATATTTGCCGTTACATTTAACCTTTCTTCCGCAATAACACACAAGCTTGCTGCAAATTCCACTTTTTAAAGTTGTTTTGTCAGTAGAAACCCTTTCTATTTCAATTCTCTTTTCCATTTGTTCACTCCACTCGTCCGTTTGGCATGTGGTTTTTGGTTAATAATCATCACCCGGAGAATTCTCATCGAGACAAATAAAGGAGTGTAGGAAGCAGTGTCTGCCCCCCACATTCCATCCTATCAAGGGGCCCAAGTCCTCTTTCCAGTAGCTTCGTGCTGATGTGAAGTCTTGCGAGAATGGTCTTTGAAGCTTGTCGTCCCCCACTAATGGATGCCGCATGGCTCCCATTGGCTTGGCTTCCATCATGCCCTCATTGATGTAGGTGTCATCCCATTGTTCCGTCACGTGCGTTTAATGTTATTGGTGAATGTGGACACTATTTTCGGGTTTTTTTAACCAATGGCGACACGCATTTCCTCCTTGTTATCAAGAATAGAGGGGCATTCTGGACACAATACGTCCATATTTGGGTGATTCATCAACAGAAATAGATTGCTTGAACCTTTTTTAAATTCTGCACGCGTATTACGACAAAAAATTAATTCCTGCTCAAGAAGCAAAAGCGCGTGGATGATATCCATCATTTTTACTAGACATTTGACGATGGATGTTTAAGAGAAGAGGGAGGTAGTGGAGAGCGCAATAAAGATCGCCGATAAATGCAGACATTTTGCAAGCCCTCACAAATCGCACCAAGTGTTTGGCCTAAGATACACCAAAAAAATGCCAAATTTTTCTTCACGTAATAATTTAACCTATGGAAACCGTGTACCTAGTGCAACGTTCCTTACGTTTCTCACGACTTCCTTCCATTCCAAATGTCTTTTCTTCCTCTTTAAAGGATTATGAAACATAAATTTAAGACGTACTTCGTCTTTTTGAGATCTGGTCTTTAAATCCTGTTACTTCATCAGCTCCTAGCCGATATGAGCCATGTCAATGTGAGTAGTCTCTTAGTCTGGGCGATTGACAAACCCTCAATCCACTTTCTAACTCGATAATGCTGAAGAATTATCCGAACCGTAAGTGCTTTGATTGCATTCTTAATAAATTTACTTTCGTGATACTCCCTTGGACCGTACAGGAAGCAAATCGGGATTGCTTTTGCCGTTTCTCATTACTGAAATTGGAACTCGTAAATCACTTTTGGCCATCATTCATTTCACTATCAAGTTTTGAACTTGAATTCACCAAATCCACTTTCTGATGGTAGTTGGAAGTGCCTAAAGACTTGACTAAGTTACAACCCTACAATGATGGTAGATTTTCCATTACTATCAATGACGACGTATTTGGACGCTGAGGTCTCTCTGGAGGTAGATGCAGTCATATTGAAACATTCAAGTACTTAAACCCCACCGGCCAACTTCCTTCTTGCACCGAGGTATGGAAAAGGCAATTGGAAATACCATCCATTCTGCTGAATTAAAGTAATGAAAATTAAGGCACCAGAAGTAAAAACGACTCTAAGGAGTGTTTTGCATTTTACGTTGACAGAGAAATAAAGTTATCAAGGTTACCCTAAGGTATCATTTACCCAACTACATCATCCATGTATACTGCATACATTTCCCATGACTTCAATAAACTTCCTCTCCTTCCTATTGGAAAGTTATTTCACAATTTGCCAAACAAATCAGATCCCAGTTGAGGTGAAATAACTGCAAATTGTTAGGTTGAACGCCTATTGAGAAGCAATTAGGTAATGTATCCGCCCTGAAAGTGACTTACTTCGAAATGAAAAGCCTCGTCACCTCCTCAAAGTTACTTGCCATGAAATAATTTAGAAGCCTCTCTAACCAATGATCACCTTCATATGCACCAATTTGGATTACATTAACACGATGCCCCTTGATTTTACTGCGCTAGGTTAGCGAACACAATTGCCTAGTAAACTGCACAATAGTTATCTAAAGCCTACGTAGAAGCCCCGTCATTTCTCTCATCTACCACCTCCGTGATCGAGAATAAAGGCATATTGTATTGTTTTAAAAAGAAGGTTATAGAGGTTTAGATATACCAGTAACTCAGTCTGGCGCTGGGTCACGTAAGCTTTTTTAACAATTTATCAGCCCCTCTGCGTAGTTTAAATGAACTTCCTTAAGGTTTTCGTACTCAAGTAAATTAGTGCCCTTTTTATCAATGCAAGAATGGCATTTAAATGTCTGTCTCGATCTGCCAAAACCATAATTAATTTCTTGACTGAGTGGAGTCCCTTCCTTCCCTCTTTTAAGGCTTTCTCCTAAGCTCAAATTGACCTTTGCAAAATTAGCAGTTACTATTAATAGCTCGTGCGATGCTTCATCCTCGGAAAAGGAAAAAAAAGGAAGTGACTCATGGAGGGAAAGTCAATGCCTACTCAGAGTATGATCATCGGGTAGGCTGCCAGGCTTAAATAGTCATTTATCGTCGAATGTTTTGCTTATCTGTCTGGGGAGTTTACATGTCAATGCGAGCTCTACCACAGCCTTGGTGGCAAATCCATCACCAACAATTACACTACCTAAATGACCAATTAACCCCCTGATCCAAACTTAGAAAAAAGGACTAGTTTACCACATTCATAATCCGCTTGCGACCTGAATCCAAGCAACATGGTAAAGGGAACACCTCGTGACCATGCCAAACTCAAAATTTCGTTCGCGTGAAACGGCTTTGGACTGCGGCAGTCCAAGCCATCATTTCTTGTCACCGGTTCTATCATTTGAAGCCCTTAATCTCCACTGCTGGCAGCTCAAATTACGTGGTTCTCTACGTATAGCCTTAAAACTAGGCTCCACTCCTCAGATAGGACTTTCGATACGGAAACAGGACTTTATAAATCAAGGTTGGCTCACTCAAGGAACTAGCTTGAGTGTATCTAACGCAATTTCTTAAAGGATAGATATGCCTTCAAATAAGGCTTGTAAAGGATGTGATCGACTCGAGATTATGTACATGCAGTTAAAGCCTCTAGCAATTAGACAAACAATTTTTATAACCTTCTTCTCGCAAGAGGCTTACTTAAAGGCGTTAGAGATTGTCTGGTCGAAAGATAATCCTGAGTTGAAATTTCCTAATCCAAAAACATCTCTGCCTGGAATTGAATGAAGTTTGCTAAGAGCTACAAAAGAGCTTTGTATTGCTGAAGAGTATAGTGTCAATGGTAAGTGCAATACTTTTATTATTTGTTCAACTTATCTTTTTGGTTTTGTGGGCACTTGAGGCGCCCCGATTGTGCCACTTTTCGGCTACATGGCCTTTAAGCCACTTTAGTAGAGCTCCTCCTGCCTTGACAATACATGTTCTGCCAAAGTAGTATGCCTTCTTTTGTTTTCAAGGAAGTCTCGGAGCACCGCACTGGTGCTACTGGGAAGCAAATCCTATTTTAAAGGTCAACGACCATGCCTTCTATGACCAACTGATAAACCTTAACCTGATGGAAGAAGGATATATGCTGCAGATGGGAGATTCTGTGACGACCCCTAAGTGAAGAGTTGAAAATGATGTCTATCTTCGACGGCGTCCCCAATTTCGTGTTCATCAGTAGTATTCCTATTGACAACTAAAGCGACACTAGCCGTGACCTTAAATCGCCTGAAAAAGTTCATTAGGGAGTTGTCTGCGGGGCTTGAATGGAGATGCCAATAAAGTGAATGTGCGATACCTCCTCCACCTCTCTACCTGCTAGATAGAACCTAAACAGGTATAGCTGTATAGTGCATGCCTGAGAACAAAGTGTCAAAGTGGAATTGACTCAAGAAATTACTTTAAACTACTTACATAAAAGCCGTTTTAAAAGACTAAAATATGCATGCAAATAAAAAATACTGCTTAAAATCCCTCCAATTTTAAATGACTGGTTTTGGACCAGTGTGCTTACAACTAGCGATGGACATGCGTGATGGCTTGCGTATTCCACCTTTCTCCAATAGAGTTCCAAGGATGATGACACTTCAGATTCAGCAGAATTTCCGGGACGGACCAGTAACGCTGCGGTCAAATATTGCTTTACCTTAAGCATTGTATAACAAAGCGCAGATGTTACCTAGATTCGGTATTTTTTGAAGCTTTTACTACCGGAATCACAAGCGTCCGACGTCCCGATTTCTGTGCCTTAGTGCGGCGGCGTCACGAATCTGTGACATGCTCCTCATCACTTTATGACAACTGGTTGCAACACATAGTGTAGCAAATGGATTGGTCGAGATTAGAACAATAAGTTAGAAGTGGGATGTTTCAAGTCCACAGACAAATACCTTTTTGGCCATTGGCCAGCATGCTCCTAAACGGAGCATAAAACAGGTGGACTGTAAGGGTTTATATTCCTCTCCTCCACACAATTAAATCGAAGTGAAGATCCATTTCTTGTACTAATACAATGCAAATAAATGAAATCCCAATTTAATCACGGTCTCATTATTGTCAAAACTTCTTCTCTTTTGTTTCCCCTAATAAGCAAACCTGATCAGCTCTTAACAGTCGTCACAGAAACATTCGCCCTACTTTACTATGTTCTGCACGATCCTGACCTTCGACTGTCTTTGTTGCATATAGTTCGTAGCGACTTTACCTCTGAGACATCAACAAAGCGGTTAGAAGAGTGACTTCGTTTCGAACACATTGCGTGCGACGCAATTATTCAATTTCTGATCGTGTTAGAGAGAGGGGAATTAACAGTCTGACGTTTAAACCTGCCAGAACGTAAAAGGTCATTTGGTCAATTGCAATATCAATTGCTGGCGGTTTACTCCTTTTCTTTAATTTAACTTACCCCCTTCCAATTAAATGTGTCATGTGTGCGGCGTGTGGCCTCAGATTGGTGAAGGATTGTGTCACAAATGTGTGACGCTGGCAGTAGACGTAGTAAATTAATTAATGAAAACGCCTTGCATTAATATTTAGAGGACTAAATCCTCTTTAATCAGTGGGAAGTGTTCAGTCTATTAATGGGTTTGTAATATATTTCTCAATATGAGGAATCATATAATGATCAAATTTTAGTTTTGCAGGAGAATTTTTTTATTTACAGCAAGTTTGCCTTTACACATGCAAAAATAAAGACGAAGTTATCCTATAACAAAGTTATAAAGCAAAATGTAACCGTCAGATTGCCTAACTGATTAAGTTTTATTTGTAAGGCGAATTCAAATGTAGGCGATGAAAAAATCAGAATATCTGGTAACCACACTTTGAATATGCTTCAAACAATAAACTATTTAGGACGACTCACCTTGATCTGCAGGTATTAATGCTTCCACACAGTGTTTTAGGCATCGTTATAATCGAAAGCTCTAAAAATATTAAGAGTACAGGAGGCTAGCGATAATTCAGTTAAAGATAACCGCGGAGTGAACCTAGCCAACGGTGCACGAAGACAATAAACAAACTCCGATGATTGCGGGGATGTCACAATCCTACGCAAACGCCGTGTACGTTTATTTTCGTAATGTGATAAGATAAACAACCTATCCACATACGATTACAATGATCTAGTATCCTTGTTTAAAAACAATGGCTTATCTCTATAACAACTTCTTCCTCCTTCTAAGGCTCCTTCAGTGAATGCTCACCAAATCCTACATTCACCGAGTTCAGTGCTAATTTCTCGACTAAAAGACATCTGTAATCAGTGTTTTTAGATAGTGAATGAGAGGATCTTACCTTTGACTGAGTGTAAGGTCTGTTATTATACATTAAAGTGCAGAATTTTCTTAGTCAGTGCTCAATTATTTTTAAAATTTTTAGGTCTGGAATCGGCCTTCTGTCGTGTAATGGAATTACATCCTCAACGTACACTGGTTCGGAAACGGCTTAGTTGACTGCAGACAGAATTAAGCGCTGTAGTCCCAGAGTAAAAAAAAAACTTCAAACGATTTCAAATAGGTTTGAATTTTTTCAAACTTGATTTCATGTACCTGCTCCTGCACCAGTTGCCTTCCACTGACGTCATGCTCTCATCCAAAGATCTCGGCTGCGATCGCGATCGGTCATACTCGAATCGACATACTAGTCCTTGCCTTGCGTCAATGCCCCTCTGACAACTTTCCTGCCAAATTGTCGCCAGGACCGGCATATCTTGCGTTACATCCCTATCTCTCTCTGTCCACTTGCCTTGTAAATGCATGAGTCATGGCACCAGTGACCTTGAGAAATGCCCAGGGAAGTAGGTGCCTTCATACCTCAAACCCTCCTCCTCTGGATGTGTAAGCGTATGTGGGGAAGGTGAAATTTCTTTGTATTCGTTTGGACGCCACCGCAACCACTACTACCTCTCTTACAAAGGTCGACATCAAGCAGCTTTTTCCAAATGGGTAAGGAAAAATAGCATGCTCCGTCTCTCCACTTAGGGGACAGGTAACTCAAACAGGATACTTGATTTCATTTGAGTTTTGCTAAAGCTTTGATGCGATGAGGTTGTTGGTTCCGATTGCTGATTAAGTCAGAACATGTATTCCATTCCCTGAGGTGTCATGGACCCGATGATCCCAAAATTATAATTTCACTGGAATGACGGTTTGCAGTGAAAAGACAATGCGATTTTTTCTTCGGTGTAAGCAAGAATTTGGAAGCACGACGGAGGTGCACATTAAATTGTCAATAAAGCGCGAGTCACAAAAGAACAGTGAATTGGCAAAAGATGGTGATAAAACAAAGTTGAAACCCACTTAAACGAATGATGGGTTTTAAACAACCATAAGATACTCTGTTGTGAGGGTTTTTTATCCACTAAAATCAATTTTGTCGTCTGATACTTTTAGGAAGCGATCAGATAGCGCGGATAAATTGAAGAAAAGTATGGGGTTGCAGTTTTGTTTGAATTGAAGCGAAAGACACAGGGACAGGTGTTTAAACGCGAACTCCTCACCAAACAATTCATGTCTAACCAATACTTACTCTCGGCGTTCAAGTAAAGCAACAAAAATTTTACCTCCACACAAAACAGTTTCCGCTGAAAAATCAAAACGCGTTTATCAACAGTTTCACCAACGCCGCGTCAAGTGTGACTCACTCGTCCTTCGGCAGGCAATGACAACTAGTTGCACCAACTCCATGTCACGGACAAATTGGTTGAAGCTAAAACATCTAAACAGAGGTTGAATGCTCTTCGTCTGAGGATGTCTACACTCCGTTACATGATTTTAAGCAGCAGTCGAATTGGTTAAGTCGGTGTCAAATAAGAACAAAGTGTCTAGGCTATGGTAGCCAAGTTCTTTCAAAGACCCTGACGACCCTCTTTTCATTTTGTGAAAAACGTCATTGTTATATTAGATCAGTAACTTGAAGATGTTGTGACTGTCCTACTTAACGGCGAAGGCAATGCTCACACAAGGGGATACTGATCTGGGATATTTGGCCATTCTTGCAGATTCCCACTTAGCAACATGCCTCTTTGGCGGTTCATTCATACATTTCCTACATGTTAGGGCTCTGTCAGTCTCGCACATCACTGGGTCTCTCGAGAGAACTCAGGAGCCTCAGCAAATCCCGTTTGTGCATTCTCAGGCTCTTCATTATCCGAATTCCATGGAACCGTAAAGCAATTAGCTTCTAGAATAGACATTTTGGGACTAAATTTGGACGTCTAAGCCAACAGTTGTGTTCACAAAAGCTGAGTCACAGACTCTACACTCTTCATAGAAATTCTCTGGAATGAACTAAATTGACTTCTTCAAGAATAAATTTTGGGTTCAAAGTTTTTACTCTAAATTTTACACTACATTTAACTACGGAGTATTAAAACAGGAGCTTCCACGGTTTAAACTGTCAATCCTGGGCTTTCTAAACCACCATGCTCGTATTGTAACTTATACCGCCCTCTATACACCGACGGGTAGGATTCTTGACCATTAGAAGTCAAACAACGTGCCACCTCATGTTAGGTGTCACAAGAAACAGGCTAGCGAAAAATTAAAAAAATACATGGTTTGAGGTTAATTTCGACACAGGCACCTTTTCAAATCCACTGATGCAAGCCACTTAATTTTTTTAGGTTGATTAATTCTAAAGTCGAACTGATTTAAGTCATTTGAATTGACAGGTTCATTTCAGTTCACCCTAGTCAAAAAATCCGTGATACATGGACCTCTTTTGTTTACGAAAGGAATGACTTGGCCCCAACCACCTTTATTTGCAGATTTTTTTGGTCAAAAAATCAGAACTTGTGACCTACATCGTCATTTTAAGGTTATAAAGTGATCTAAATACTACTTCGTTCGGACAAGCGTCCATTTGGCCCATGGTTGATGCAGGTTATTGGAGGCACAGGCACACTCGGAGAGAGACTATAGAATTCATTCAACGCAGAATGCTTCTTGCTTTATCTTCTCCAAACTTCTTAATATCATCAACAGTACATTAAGGGAGACTATCAATTCGTAGTGGAAAGCCACTGCGAAAGCAGTCAAACACACCAGTAACCATAAACTGCCTTTCCTAAGAGTGATTTCTGCCCTTCGGCCACAAAGACCCTGTTTTATGATACCTCCAGACGTGTAAAAGACCCAGGAGGAACACAGAAACGAAAAGTGACAATCGGCAAAGCAGTGCATTTCCTCTTACAAGATAAACAAAGCAAAAACCCATATTTGTTAAGAAAAATAGCGATTTAACCCACTCACATCCGGCCCCGTCGAGAAAATTAAAAAAAAATAAGGTTGTTAAATCACTCTAGCATCATCAAAATTTCCTTAGGAAAACTGAAGATAGCTCACACGGCCTCAAGTAATCATTACTTTGGATTGGAAACAGCATAAAAGCGCGACGTTCAAAGCATGCGGCTGTCGGTCACTGAAACGACGCACAAAGTGAATGAATCGGGTTGGATTGAGCGTCGAAAAGTGAAATGCAACTAGCAAATTCACTCACGAACACCGTGCCTCCAACCAACACGCTGTGTTTCGTCCAGTGCCGACGGCTTTCGTCTGCTCAGTGTTTTCCACAAGGATCAGGGCTCAAGGCAGCAAGCGAATTGCTCAAAACTCCTTTGGTCTCTTTAGGAAATTGTCGCCTTGTCGATATACTTGGGTGGATTCCCCAAAAAAGAAGATTTCGCAGGAAATTAGCCTCCTGACGACAAAAGTCTACAATAGAGAGAGCCGACCACTTGAAGACAGACGCGCCGACTTACCCGTTACCCACGCACTGTCGCTCAGCCTTGGAGTGTTGGTCGAGGGATGACTCACGTCCACGCTCATGGTAGTATTCCAGCCCATATCATGGTTTGTGCGAGTTTTAAGTCCGTGATATTCAGAACCCAGGGTCACCATTAATCACGCCTGAATAACGAGATAGAACGCATCGTAGAACAGGAGTGAATAGTCGACGCACGCTCGAAAAGCCAAGGCGCAGGAAGTAGAAGCTCGGGTTCCCGGGAGCGTGCAGTACTTCCTTCTGTTACCCTACCACAGAGAAAGTTACATCCTACTGAATGTTCTGAGATAAGTAGATTTGTAAACTCAAAAGCCCACGCACCACATGGCAGTGCAATGGTACGTGGGAATATCATCAGTTTAGCGACAGCCATGAAACCAATTGACGGAATTCTCTCACAAGACTGGAACAGTAACACTGCAAGTTTTAATCAGAAGCCACTTCCACCCTCCAGTCTCAAAGAGGTGGTTGTGAGAAAACCAGCAGTGAAAGAGCGTTCTTCTCAACCTCCGAAGCATACCCACTAAAGTGCTTTGAAGGCGAGAACTTCAAGCACATCACTCACGATGACTGAGTTATAGGAAAATAGTAAGTAGTACCACATTAGCTGGCCCAGAATTCAATTTAGCGGCAGTATCGTGCAAAACGACACTGGTTCCGGGTCGTCAACTAAATATAAGTTGGGAAGTCAAAAAGTAAAATGAGAATCAAAGAGTTAAGACGGATTTTTTACAAAATCAGTCCATTCATAGCCTACGGGCTCAATGAGAACTTTGCCTAGTAGGGTTTATTTCAGTGGATAGACACTTTTAACTCAGTTTTATTAAAATTGTCTCAAAATTCTGAGGAATATGAAGAATTGCAATCGACCGAAAAGCTGCTAAAGCAAAAGCCGTAGAGACAGCATCCCACACTACCCCTTCATTGAAGGAGAATCACCCAACTGACGAAGAGCCCGCCCATTGACAGTTTGACAGCAAAAATTGATCTCTTTACTTTTCTTAATCTTCAAGGCATAGCATTACCCAAAAATGGATTTGATGAACATGAAAACCAAAAGGTGTAGTTAGATCTATTTCTTTACCAACAAATAAGTGGAAGGTCTCCCCTAAATGCAATGCTCAATCCTTTTTTAATCCAACTAGATTATGGAGTGCCGCCGCAAGACATGCGATCAACATTGACAGTTGAGATGAATCCGAGCAGTTAAGAAAGTGATCAAGACTTACATATTGAAGCACGTGGTGGCTGAATCAAGAGCCGCTTTGTGCAAGTGGCGACCGAGAGGCCAACGACGAAGCCGCAGGCACTAGGATGTGACAGAAGAAAACCGATCTTCCACAGCACCCCCAAGCTATGCGTGGCCCCAACAGTCAGAATGTGTCGGCGTTTTGTGTTGGTGTGTGCTTTTGTGATTATGTGTGCGTGGGCGTACCTCCTAGAGGTGTCTGAGTCAGTGGCGTAGCGGTGATTGGCTGAGAGCGGATGCGGTATCACGTTCACTTGCTGTCTCTGATTGGTCAGGTTCGGCCGAGTAGGGGGCGCCTAGATGTTTGTGTATCGCAATCCGTCAGATCATCTAAGCTGTCACAGTTCAATTAATAAGAAGGGGGTTTTTGAATTCTCGCCTGCCTTGACTTTGGTCAATGACCTATGTAAGTGTCATCAAAGCGTGGTTCCAAAATCTAACATTCATAACTCCCCCTTCTCCTTGGATAGTTGAAATTAGTGCACTTTTTCAAGCCTTCGATTCAATAAATAGCTTTGTTGCCCGTGTTCGATGAAGCCTGCTTCCTCTGACTCACCTGTTTTTCTTGGGGTGCCAAGGTCCCGAGTGATTCAACCTAATTTATCGGACACTTTGATTTATCAGCAGGACAACATGTTTTAATTACAATTATATTAAAAGCCAAAGTTCTGTTTTTTGGACCGTCTCTTTAAACACCAGCAGTCACAGTTCAGACACTTCCCTGTTCCCTATATGGCACTAGCTACCATTAATTATTTTGACCAGTTTAACTTCTGCTCCGGAATTTAAAGAGTCCTTTGTTTTTTCGCCAGAACCATATTTTGTTCTGTCTCATTGTTTGGCGCCTAATCTATCCTTCTAGCCCAGCGATCTAGCGCAGCTACTTTTGATGAAGTGGCAGATAATTCATGTCACAGGATTGTGACATGAAATCATACAGGAGGATAGGCCCATTAAATGTGTACTGCTCATAACAATTGTACTAAAAGTGAGGAGCCAAATGAATATGGATGACTGGGAAGATGGTGGAGGGGAGGGAGGTCTAGGTACTTTTCTCGCCTCTATCGTATCGTAATCAGGAAACTACATCAGATCATCCAATGCGTTTTTTGAATACTAAGAGTACTTCATAAGGTGTCCGTTTTTTAATTGACTAATTTAGTAGGGACGAGCAACAAGAAAGCCAGTGTCGAGCACCAAATGAACATCACAATCAGTGATTGCACGTATATGAGGCAAATGACTAACAGGAGTTGAATTCGTTTTCGCTGTCTGGTGTGCTCACTTTCTCATATAACAGCGTATTGTGCAATGGAATACTTTAAGGCATAATTTAATTCTAAAGGGTAACCATCAAGCAGCATTGACTGGACGAAGTTCAAAGTAGAGTACTTGCCATTCTACGGTAGTTTGATCCTGGTTTTGCAGGAGTTCACCTCTAGTGATGCTCTTCACGCATAAAAGGGTGAGGTTTGGGTGAAGTTATGCTTTCACTGTGTGTACACGCATGAGTCAAAATGATATTCTGGAGTGAATGATCACTACTTGTAGTCTGGTCTTGTGCAATCAAGACTTAAGTGATTGCCCCAAATCCACCTCCGCTTTGTCAAGGGAAGATAATGTAATCACTCAATCAGCGGATGTAAAAGTTGCTTACATGGGCAAACAAAAAACCAGACAGGCTTGGAATATTCTGGAAGACTTAGTAACCTCGCTCTGCGGACGTAATCCCAAAGCCACAGCCGTTTGTTCCATTTGGCTACCGAAAATAGTCTAGCTGCATACGTGAAGCGGTTCAAGGCGATAAGGCGTCGACTTCCGTCGGCTAGCTACTGCTCTAAGCTTTGCATTTATTTGCCTTGATTTAAAAAAGGCGCCTCACGTCATTGAAGAATTGTTAGGCATACCCAAGAGGCGTTCCATGACTAAAACCAACTGACAAAATTGTCCGGTTTTTTATATCTTCTCCACTAAAGCAAAATGAATGTTGTCATTGTGACTCATCGAACAATGAAGCTCTAACTCTCAAGGTTGCATACATTTGCAAATCATGTGATATCATCACTTTAAATTTGCCTAAGTGCTGTTACTGAAATTCAAACTAAAGAAAAAGTAATATGCTGTTGTCCTTCTGTGATACAAGAAAATTAGGGAGAACATTGTGCGTTGACTCAAACCTATTAAAGTCCGCCTAAAAAACTGGTTTTTCTGTTTCAAATATAACAGCAGGTAGCTTGGAAGTTGCCAATAATATACCATTTCAGTGTAGCTTAACATCGTTTGAAGGATTATTTTAAAATATATGTGTACATTTTATGGCCTTAAATCGGTGGCAATATTTAGGATGGACGTACGAGTAACCTAACAAAGGGGTGCATTAATTTCTTTCAAAAATGTTAGAAGAGTGTCTTAAACATAAATCCTTTGTTAGTCACCTCTAATAAAGACGCTAGTTAAAGTAACTGTGTACGCGATTCTGTGTTTTCGTAAACAACTGCTAGATCAACCACATATTTCTAGTATGACCGCTGCATGAATCAGCAAATAAACCCTAACAAATCGGCATTTTTTTCCTCTTCCAACGGCAGACAATTCCATTTTGAACGCTGTAGTTGCGTAGCGAATGTGCTACGCCTTGAAGAAGTCAGGTTGGATCACACAAGAGCCTATCGTAAGTGACGCCTTAAACTAATTGGCTTGTTTCAAGGTCGTAAGGTAGCCTTAACGATGATACGTGTGATTACGCACACGAAAACGAGCGGCTTGCGGGAAACATGTCGAATGCTCTGACACTTTATTTAAGAATTTCTCGATGAAGAATACGATTGCGTATGCAGCTCTCCGTTTATGGTTAATCAAGTTGATATTTGGTTGTGATGGTGCGACTGAAAGTAGGAGGATTGATGCATTGCGTGATTAAGAGAATACACACGCCAATTTTGAACAGATAAATTTAGGATTTTGGATTCTTGGCTATGTCAACGCAAATAATACCCCTGTCTTTACTGTTCAGTCACTTACTATGCAAGCTAATGATTTTAGTAGTTTTGTAGGTTAAATATACTCGAAAACTTTTCGGAGTATATTCGCGCACTGTGTCACTGGGCGTTTTGCTGTACTTTATTTGTTACTCTCTTACTAAGAGCTGATGCTGGACCAGCACAGCCTTTCTTTAAATAAAGGCGAGGCTATTTATTGCTTTTAATACTTTTGTTTGGATTTATTCACACTGCTCCTGCTGTCTTGTGTGCTAGAAGCTACCTTAGATTTGGGTACAAGTGAAAATTTATTAATCTCGCAGAAATTGATTCGTACAAGAATTTAAATGGCGCATTTGACAATTAGTATCATTATTGTACTAAGTTACCAAGTAAAGTGTTGGTTTATGTAGTTTGATGTCATCCTTGATTTCCAGCATGGTACTTCAGTTATACAATATCCTTAGAATTCCATCATCTCCTAAATGCTCAAAAAGAAGATATTTCATTGCTTATGAGACCATTTTTTTGCAAATTTTATTTGTATTGCATTAGTTTCAGATAACTAAAAACCCTGTAATATTTTTATCTCTTTTTTATGAAGCCCCGTAACACTCTAGTAGCCGTTACACATAGAAATCTGCCTAAGTCATCTACAAAAAATCCCCTTTAGACTTGACAATTGTCAGCAAATAGCACCTACAGGTGCATGTAAAAGCCTGAAGGTGCTACGACTAAAAATTCGGTTTGGTTAGACAGGCATTAAGTATTCAAATTAAGTAGCAATGTTTATTTGTGGCTAGGAGAAGCGATGGCCAGCCCCAATTGTGATAAGGCCATCCACAAGGATTTTAATGCATTTGAGTTGCAGATAGTATGTTTATTTACATATGTTTGTTTTCTGAGAATCAAAAGTTAGTTTGTTTTGATTAAAGAATTACCCGAGAACATGAAACCGCAATAATCCTGTAGGGAGGTTCAATGTTTGCTCGATTCATTCTTCCTGCCACTCATTCGCGCATTAGTTCAATCGCCTTTACATTCCGTCGCGTCACTTATATATCTTCAGCTATGCTTACTAGGCACACAATTCTTTCATTGCTTTTGAGATATTTTCTTTAAATAATATTTTATTTGTTTAATTTTGCTATTATTTGAAGTGCACAGGAAAATACCCACCTGGAGTTTGCCACTCCCTTTTGAGAACGTGTGTTTGATACTTGAAAGATTACTCATCTCATAAGTCTCCACCAGTTATCTGTGTCCTTTTTTCTGTTCTAAATCATCGCATTTTCACATAAACTCGCAACTATTTTCACAGGTGATTCTGAACAACCTAATAATAAATAATTGTTATGTGTGGCTGTTTGACTTTCGGTTTCGGTGATAGGGCTATTTAAGTGCTCCACCATCGTAAACTCGCCGAATTGGCTGGCCTTTGGGCCAGGTTAGTAGTCTCAAGCCCTTCTCTCCGTGGGCGTTACATATTCTGTTCTAGCGTTATGTCCTCTTTCGCGGTTAGAGAGGTCTTATGACTTCACGCCGAGCGCAGTGGAAAGCGAACCCCATCTAAAGGAAATTTATTCGGATTTCTACTGCATTTCTCCTGGAAATGGAGAACTGGAAGCAATCCCTTACGAAAAGGCTGAAAATGACATCACCAATAGGCAAATAACCCATTTCCGTGTTCAGCAGAAAAGCTATTAACAACTGAAGCCACACTAGCCTTGAATCCTCTAAAAAAGTTTCGCTATAGAACTGCTTACCCTACTTGTATGACGATATCAAATATGTGAATATGCAATCATTTATTTTCCACTTTTCCACTAGCTGGATAGAACCCAGATGGATATGGCTAAATAACTCTATAGCGAGAACACCATGCCAAGGGGGAATAGAGTAGAAGCCCAACCCCGTCCTTTGTCACAAGACTGCTTCTAAGCCAGTGGTTTTACAGCTAGCTATGAACACGCTTGAGAATTAGCACAATCTTCCGTTCTTAAAATGGGCGAAACCGCGGATCCAGTCGAATTGCTGAGCGAGATCAGTGATGTTGCGGTTAAGTGTCTTCCTAGTTCCATGGTAACTCGGTGACTAGCACGGTTGGCTCGTAGGTATTCTCCCTCACCGCACCAACTAAATTGTAATGGCTGACGCAGAAAATTGACCAAGGGTAGTGCACGAGGTAACGCTTAGAAGAGCGGAGGCAGTATGTAACACGCTAGTTGTTTGTTTAGCGTATGACTTTGCATCCTTGTGATTCATTTTTATGAAACAATACCTCTCCTTTTTATGGTTCTCGCTTTAGTCAAAGCACATTTTATTTCGATTCTAAAGGTTCCTTAACTATTGGCTCATTAATGATAGACTAGCATCTACTTTTTGTGTTTACTGCTTTGACAGAAGATTTACATTCAATGAGGTAGTTAACCTGCTCACCTCCATGTTAATTTCACCGTTAAGAAGGATTAGGTACTTTTAGTGCGTGATTGCTATGAGTGCCGAGAATAAGGTGGTGTTAGTCTCACACCTTGACATGGATCAGAAATTCCATTGATCAGAAATTCCTTCAGGTTTTATGCTCATGGGGTTGCTGCCAACTGCGGGTTCCACTCAATCGCAAATCAAATCAATGATGTGACTCAGAGGCGCACACGCACACACTCAGACACACTTACAGAAACAAGCTGCAGCACAAAGGTGCCAATGCAATGGATTTCAATTGCAATGGCGGTTGAGTCCTAATGTATAATCTCGTCTTCCTTTCTTACTTGCTTCACATTATGCAAATTTTAAACTATCTGTCACCTTGCCACTAAATTGGTAATATGGAATGGAATAGGGATTTCATAGCCCAATAGACGCACATCTAGTCATTAACTTCGACATTTTTTTGAGCTGACACACTATATTATCTTCACTACACATTGCAAATTTGCATAAAAATGACACAAGTGTCTGTCTTTTCACTACCTAATTGTCAACTCATGAAAAAGTTGTCTATAGTGAATTGAGGGCATTTGTTTCAAGTTAAATAATTGCATCGGGGGTCTTTCAAAACTTTTACTGAGGGGCATTCATTACAAAACACCAATCTTTTGCTGAAACGACTTTATTGTGCAACAAATTCCACTTATATAACACATTGTATTTCCAAAAGCGTAAAACAAGTTCAACACCTCCGTCTCTACCTCACTTCCAGTTTCGGATCGCCTGCCTTGAATGCGATGAACTAATATGACTAGGGGCATAAGATGGATCTCCCATCTCATGCCATATTACAGTGCCAACATCTCTAGGTCCATTTTTCGATGAAATAAAGACTTAATTTACCTTGTGAAACGAAGATTTTCTTCCTATTAAGTGATTCATTAGGCCTAACTGTTTTTAAAAGAAAGGTTTCTCTCCGCTCTATATTGGCGTTGACTTTTTATAATAGAAAATCCCTAGACGTAAGTTGTTTTTAAAGAAAATTTTAGGTACACTTTGCCACACTCCTGGAACAGAGCCTTAAGAATAGTTAAGAGGGCTTTACACAATTTTATACCTCACTCAAAATTAATTAGTATTGCTTAAGGGGGAGGGCAGTTTGTGTGAAAAATACATATGTTCTGGCTGATGGATTAAGTTAGGAAAAACCTCAAAATCCTCACTCTTGCCTCAGTAAATTTGCTATAAAAGTGCTTAGAAAAGATTTTACTGGTTAAAAGTTTTAAGAGAAAGGTCTTTTAGGACTAAAGAGGAGAAAGTATAGTTGGTTATCCACTTTTAAAGCATCAAGACGCTGAAAATGGTGGTGCAACTCTTGGCACAGCCCGCTTAGCTGATTCACAACTAGTGAGCCCGTTTTATGTGCAGGCATAAAAATACATGCCAGATATGATAGGACCATTTTCTATCCGTACAGACCATGCTTCTGGGTATTGTACTACATTCCTCTACCCTTAAAATCTCATCATGCGGTTTTGGTTGGATCAGATAAACCGGATCCATAGTGGTCGGATTTATCCGTAAAATTCAACGCAAGACTAAAATGCACCGCCTAATGCATGTTGTGTAGAAGTAGGAGAGGAGGTGACAGCTGAAAAAATGCTCCAGAAAGAAATGCTTTTAGATATTCGACCAAATGATTCACTGATGTATCACTGAATGGTAAATAAATTTGTAGGTAGGTAAACGCATCACCCTTGAACAATGAGTGGAATGAAGCTGGTGTGTTGCGATGTAATGCAAGATTGGCAGATACAGATGATAAGAACACATTTCATTAGTAGAATATTAGACCCCAAAGATGAGGAAGTGAACCGCTGACATCACGAATACTTTATATATGATGAGCTGCAGACAGAATTGCACCGGTGCGTTGTTTGCTTGTTGACGATCAAGCTGTTACTACAACCTGTGCGCCCCGCCTGCTGCTCTTCGTTCTTTTTTCATTCCTCAGACTGAAGCCTAGCACCTTTTTTGGCGTTGCATTCGGGAAGTAAAGGCGGTACAGAAATGCAATTGTCTTGGAGAGCATTTTTGTGCGGTCAAGAGCAAAGCATCTTATGAAGGTGTCATTCAGCCTAAATGTAACAAAGAATTAAAGTCTTTTGATGCTAAGTACTCCAAATAGCAGAATGCTTAAAAAATTCTTTTATAATGATAGGAATTTTGTTGTTTACTTTGTGTACTTACCTTCCATTGGCTAGTTTAAACTCTTACCGTTTAGAAAAACCGATTTAATGGGGCTTTTTTTTATAAAATTGGGTGGAGCGTTAAAAATCAAAGCAATACTAGCCATCTTTTTCAAAAACCGCCAAATCTTTATCTGACCTCCGTAAAATATTAAAACAGAGGTTGGGCACAACAAATGATATTTGGCTGATTGTTGCAGGAAAGATCCCAAAACACCCTAAAATTTTTTATTCTAACAAAACGTCCTTATACTGATTTTGAGGCTTAACCTTTTTGGCCTAATTGCCTAAATTTTAAAATTGTTGCTAATGGTCCTGAATTAATTCTGGGTGTTTGACAACACTTGACGGCACCATGAGGGAGGATGTGGTGGTAGCGCTGTTGAACAACGGTGGTTTCTGCAGCGTGTACACTGAAGGTATACAAACACACACGCCCTTTCGATCAATGGTGAGTGAATGTTTGAGTAATCGCAATGGAATTGGGTGAGTTTTTGTGCACAATCTTAAAGAGAAGTACTTACCTGACTTAAAAACTTCAACGAACTGATTTGCCTGTCTACCCGTCAGGTCACAATTTGTGTGGCTGGACATCTTATTATATTCACAAACTTATTTCCTTCGCTAATGTGCCTACAAGTGATACAAAAATTATCACGAATTTTGTATGAATTAAAAATATATACAAAAGATTCAGAGTTAGAAAATTCGTTACATCTTTCAGCAGGACCAGAGACAAAAGTCTAATACAGCTCACAAACTAAGTGCGTTATTTAAAGCGTTCTTATACAACACAAAAAAAGTGATTTTGTCCTTTGGTTAGAAGCATCACAAATACGTTTTGTTTGTTGTAAACACAAATACTTTGTTTATGACACGAACCATTGCCAAAGTCGCAATTACATGACGTTAGCAAAGAACCCGTTAAAAATCCCGACAAGGAAAAAGGCATTAAATAAAATTATAAATATTATCACGTTGCAAGACTTGATAAATTTACACCTACCAAGACTTTTAAAAACCACTTCGTAATTCCTAAATTAATTTAGATTTTAACAACAAACCCCATTCAAATGTCAAAGGATTCTGCAGACGGGATAGTATTCCCGCTATCAAATAGTTGGGGAATTCGGTTGATTACTTTGCAAATAGTATAAAAGAATCGTGACTAATCAGCTAAAGGCTACTAAATTGGAAGTCGTACTCGTTTTTTGAGTCCACTTGAACTGTTGCAGAGAGGCAACAAGCGGAATCGTAGATAGTCGTGTAAATCGCCATTTCCATTCATCACTGTTAGGAGGGTGTAGTTTTTCCCTCAACAGGCGCGGTTAGATAAAACCCAGCAAAAGAGTGCTTCTTACTTTCAAATAAAATAGTATTAACCACCGGAACGTAAACGATATCAAATGTCTTTTGGGCATAATCTAAGGAGTCATTGTTGATGGCACTCGATTAATGAAATGAAATTTGCACTAACTAGAACTAGGTCATCAATATATTATATAAGGTAAATTTAGAAGAATTCCCTACGAAAGATCAACGCTTACGCGAAATAATATTTATCATTAGCACTGTATTTTGCTTCACAGAAATAATCGGATCAGTGAAGCATTTTTAGCGTAAAACTGCCAGCTTTGATCTTGATCTCAGTTGTAGTAGGTTACTTTTTTAGTGATTAGTTCCCCAAGTATGCAAAAGCTTTGCTTTTAAGTTAAACGAAAAAAATAAGAGGTAGTTTTTATGAAAATCGAGTTTAAATGAACAAAATTCAATGCATATTCTCACATTATGGATTTTAGGCAAGTACATATTAATGAAGTTGACATACACACACAGACTCTCAAGCAAGCACAAGCAGATAGGGCGAAAAAAGGAGGCAAAGTTAGCTTTGCACAGGTGACTCGTTATTAACAATAACGCAAAACTGACTCAAGCTTTTTCACGGGTTCGCTGTCTCGGTAACGCCCACTCACACACATGGAAGCGCGATTAATGTAGACGGCATTGCGTGTAGAATAACGATTCGGTGCGCTTTTGAGTGCTCAAAGAGGTATAATAGACATCGAAGGTAGCACAAGGCTCAGTTGTGCTAGCGTCTGTAACTTACAACCATGGCTGTATACAATCTAACCCACTTACATGTCGATAAGTACAAGAAGGAAGGGAAGATGAATGCCCAAATGACAAAGGCACTGCAAAAGGCAGCCAAGGGTAAGCAAAGCGAAGTAAAGTGCAATATGGAACAGGACAAGGTAGTATTTCAGGGCAGAAAAGAAAAAATTCCACGGGCGAAAATTGCAAAGACACAGAGGAACAAGGACCAGAAGATCGTTGTAATCGCCACGAAGGTAGAAAAAAAGCAACCCGGTGAAATTTTTGCCATGAAATTTTCTAACGAAGAAGAATTCAACAATTTTTTTGAGGCCATCAAGGAGGCACCAAAGGGTGAAGAATCGAAAAAACCTGATCCAGCTCCCTCTGCACCAGAGCCTAAGCCAGCTGAATCGGAAAAGCATTCCAAAACGCCGTCTCCAGAAAAGAAAGCGCCACGTGAGGAACCAAAGAAACATG